CAAGCTCTCATGCACCGATTTTGCAATGGTTTAGGAGATACTCACTAACGTACAGCGATCGTCGAATCGGTTAGAGGTGTGGGCACAGTAAAACAAACATCACTCATTGGTCATGGCGGACAGAGCATCGTGGTCTATGTATCGTCAACTGCATGGTTACAAACACACCAATAAAGGATGAAAAAACAAAGCAAAACGAAAGCGCACCTGCGGGTCGTACTGTACGAGAAATCAGTATGTTCGCAGTCTGCTTTGTTCCCGATTATCGTAGAGCTGATGTAGGGTCGGTATTGCAGTATACGACACGTTTTTTTCTATTCCTGTTATTCTTCGTCGTTATCCCTTTATTAAAGAAAGCAGTTAGATTATGTACCAGCATGTGATCCAATAAGTACGCAACCACGGCACTGTGAAACTTTCTTATGACGCAATAGAAAAATTCCAAACAGTCGTGTAGCGCCGCTTGATACCACGCTCGTGCGCAAATGTCGTTCGTGGGATTCTACATCTCTATCATTTTTATCTTCCGGACATCCTAGGCGTGTTCGTCATCCGCTTGACCTTATAGGAGAACATTTTTCATTGTTGTCAGCTTTAATCGAGAGTGTAATCCATCTTTTAGACAATATGTACATTGTATAACACTTAGATACCCGGTTGTCTTCTGCAGCACGAAATATAAAATGAATTATCGTTTATCTTTCGCTGTTGATCTCACCTACTTGTTGTAGTACTGCAAACATGTATACATCTACTAGCTTCTAGATCTCCGTATCTAGAAGCTCACACAACTGCTACCTTGGTGTCTCAGCCATCCGTGATAACATTGTCATTCGCCAGTTGAACACGCATTATCCCAACGCGCATTTTCCCAATAGACGTCGGATAATGTTGTACGCAAGATCATCTTGTTATACAATAGCCATACGCGGCGTATGACCTTGTGCATTACACTGTGTTATAAAAAATAGAAGGCACCCTGTTATGGTTCCAGGGAGGCGAAAATAGTAAAAATGAGGGAGGTGAAAATATCATTACCCTTTTTTTAAAACACACTGTAAAACTTGGGCACAAAGTTGTCTCTTATAGAGAGGGGTGAGTGTATCAACCAATAAGTGGAGCAATACCAAATGTTTCGTTCGAGTATGTTATGTCATAAATATTCATTTGGTGAGGTAACAAAATGGTGGTGGTCAGAAAGTCTATTTGCACGGAAGTAGCTATGCGCCTTAACCTCTGCATTTTTCTCAGCCAGTTAGCAGCGCCGGGAGACCCGGAGGCTAATCGTGGCTGGTCCCTGGTAAAAAAACATTCTAGGTATCGGCTCGACCAATCGGGCGGTCGGCCGAACCGTGGCACTTGATAGGGTCCGAGACCCCTAAAGCTGTAGACACAGCCAGTAGTCTGTCGTATGCTATTGCCAAGGCAACAACACCGATAAGGAGGAACACCCCTTCCTCGACGTAAAGTGCAATCACCAAAGTGACTGCAAGGCGTGGAGAACGCCAACCCGCCGTAATATCTCCCCTAGGAGCTCAACCATCCGCGATAGAGGCCCCCATCAGCCGCTTGCGCGGCCCCTCGGACTTGGACTGTGCGACTGCCGCAGCGGCGACACGCGGCGCGGGGTACGGCTCCATTCTATAACACCCCCCCCGTTAGGCCGCTCGCGCGGCCCGTCAATCCACTGCACCCACACCTGAGTCTGCGAGTGCAGCTTGCACGGGGCAAACCTCGGACCCCTCCGGCTCCCCTAGGGATGGATTCCCTCCGGGGTGGCCGCCGCGGAAGGGGAAGAAAATACTGACTTGAGCTGAACCGTGAAAATTTGGGAATGAGGAACAAACTGGAGTAGCTTACTAACTTCAAAAATATTAGATTGACCCAATTTAGTGTCAATAATGTGCTACGGACTCACCCCGTTACAACAATGCTACGTTGACATTGATGCGAAGGCCACACTTTCCGTGCTTTCTCCCGACGAGAAGCGTAGACATCCGCACTGCATATACCTTGCTTAAACCACGTGAAGTCTTCGTGGCAGCAGCACCGACAAGGTCTAAAAACAAACGAACGCGGTTCGGGTCGACGAATATGCTAACGAGGTTGTGAGGTACGACTAGAGGGCGTGTATGTGGAGCTCAAGTCCGACTGCAATTTTGCTGACCTCTGTAAAAAAAGTATGTCGTACCCGGCTCTTGCACACGTGACTGTTGTTTGGTGATGATGGGCGCAGTGCTAACGGACTAGGTCTTGAGCAAGTGGGAGTCACACAAGAGTGATAGGCTTTGCATGTGCATAGATGTATGAGCAATGCGGGTACAGCGACTACACACAAGCTATACGCATCACCGCCGTTGCGCCAAGTAGCCGTAAACCAATTTGTATGACTACATGTGCATATGAGACCGCCTCCGGGACATGTCGATTAAAGTCCATTCATCTGACACCCGCACTCGTTGCAACGCTTACCAATGAGTGATGAGTTGCCATTTGTTGGCCATGTTTGGCGCCGACGACGTGCCATTGTGACTGTCTGCGTGTCACAGAAGCTGATGTGCGCTTCGGTCCCGTTCATGAAGACGACAGGCTTTGTTGCCAGCATCTGTCTCACGTGGATGACAAAGTTTGATTTGAGCTGCTCGCCCACGTGTTTAAAACATTTGAAAGGTCAAAGAGGGCTTGTGGCTCGCGCCCAGACTGTATGATGGAACACAGAGGCGGAGCAAACATGTGTCAACAAGCTGACGAAACGTGGTGGCGACGAGGATGAAAAGATGAACGAGACGAAGGCGAAACCTTCGGCATTGCCGCGCGGTATGTTACCATGTAAGCAAGAGTCTACCATTCCGATAACGTTTCGTACATGCTGTGACTTACAAAGTTGTGCACGTAGACTACCACGTCGTCGTCGTCCTTGCTGGTGCCCTTTGCGCACGAGTGCCTACTCACTGTGCATCTGGCGCTAACTTGCTTATCGAGATCGTGATAAGTAGATGCAGCTTTGTCGCGTTTGACAGATAGCACTATGCAATTAGCGCAATTATGTCAGCTTTATCGCAACGCGTGCCTTTCTGGTGGCGAAATGCTCGGCATGTTGTAAGACACGAGCACGATTGTAGCGCTACTACTTGCAGGAACTATCACGAGCGCGAGGAGAGCAGGTCGTGTTTTACACCTTAGAATGCTCAGTCGAAAACACGGAGTCGACGACTTTCCCACGCACACTTGGGCGAGTAGTTTTGCCAATGAGTGTCGCTACTAAAGCCATGGATTGAGCTGAACAGCACAAAGTAGTGGTGGGGGCAGTCTGGTTGTGTCCAAGCCCACTAACACGTTGCACTCTGTGCGAGCCTGCGTCTGTCCGTTCATTTTGCCCGTCGGACATGCAAACGGCAGCAATGTTACATCTCGTAGACATATCTCTAGCAAGTTCCTCAAGCTTGTCCGATGCTTGCTATGCGCTTACTGCACTCAAAAAGCAGTCAGAAGACGACCCACTCTTTTGACATACGTCAGATACCGCCAGCACAATCTGATGTGCTGAAACATGTCTACTCTCCAGTCTCGTGGCAACCGCTCGACAACTATAACAAGCACTGTATCGATGTGCTGCCTCGTTGCTTCACAGCTTCGATTTACAATAGTCGGCCGGGTACGCAAACTACAGTACGCCAGAGACTCTGCGAAGCGCTACTCGCAAGCGGCCAAATCGATTTGGGCGTTCGTAGGGACATCCGTACGTTTGTTTGACCACAGCGAGGAGCTGGCAACCAATGGCGATGGACGACGTCGTCCTTCTGGGCTCACGCACCTTGCGACTACACAACAGCTGTGGCTGGAAAGGCGACATCGCTCGCAGCGTGTACATGTTCCGAGAAGCCGTTTGGGTCGTTATTTGCTATACGTTCAGTGGCCTCCTGTTGACCAACATATGTAGGTTGACCTGCTGGTACGACATGTTGACCGACGTCGGGAGGTTGCCTGCTAGTGCGACATGTCGGCCTTTTTCTACTTGCGTCGTGTAGACGTGAGAGGTAGCGTTCGTCGTGCCCGGCCGCCCGCTTTAGACTTAGCACTACTATGGACGCGGCTGATTGCCTTATTCGTCGCCGGCCGCCTGTACACAAGGGCAAAGGGTCTCAAACCGTTGAATTGTAAGGATAGTGGAGCGAAGGGGGTATCGATCCATCAAACCGCGTTTGTTTGCCGATCCTTTCGTCATTTCCCGATGGAAGGAGGATCAGAAGGAACTGCATGGGGCCGTGCTGTCGACTGTTTGATGCAGCGGCATGCGTCACCTCGTGCAGCAACAAAAAGCTCAGGATTAGAGGAGCACGGTTGCCAGCTGCACGGTGCAGTGCAAGCCATTTGATGAGCTGCCATTTACTGGTCCTTCTTCTTAGTTGCGATTCGTGTAGCCACGGAGGCATCAATCAAGTCAAAAAGAAGGTCCCGGGAAAATCCGGTCTGATTTTTGGTTACAAACGCGAGCTCGCCAGGGCTGACCAATCAACTCGCAACTGCCGGTGCGTTCTATGTAGTCTGGTATGGATTGTCTAAGGACATGAGCTGCGCGCGGCCTTCCGCGCTTCGGATTCGTTGAAAGTGTCAACTGCTCGGAGCGCGCCAATTGCGACCGCGGAAAAGCCGAGAAGCGCAGCTTGTCTAGCATCCCGTTCGTCCATTTGATTGGTCGAGAAGCCGTCGTTCAATCTCTGCCCACGCGCGCTGAATATTTGCGTGCCGTTGACCCTACCCGCGCCGCCTGCCTTCTCCCCTCTCTCTCTCTCTTTCGCTCACAACGGGAAACGCAGCAGCAAAGGAAAGCGCGCAGTGAAAACGCGGTTGCCATTGCCGTTGCCGTTGCTGTTTTGAGTCGCCTTTGCAGTGCGCACTCCCCCCTGCTCCCCCCTGTCGCTTTCGACCTCTAGCTGCCGCTTCCGCGCGCGCCCTTTCCGCTGCCTCGGCGCGAGCAAACGAAAGACCTACCAAACAGCATGACGCAACAGGCACCGCCTGAGATGGACCGCCGTCGGCGCGCGAGCTCCAACTACTTCGAGCTCGATGCAGACCGTCGTCGCAACAAGTCGGAGCGTTCTGCGCGCCTAAGTACGCGCCTCGACTCCATGGACATGTCGCAGTCGGGCGTCAAGAGCACGGCCGTGCCGTCGGACGACGAGACGGCGATTGATTACTGTTGCGAGGTCTTGAAGACCAAATTTGGGTTCCAAGAGGGGTCGGTGAGCAACCAACGCGAGCACGTGCTGCTCCTGTTAGCCAATGGCAAAGCGCGCTGCCTGGCCACGGACCCCGTGGACCAGCACCTCGTGCACTTGGCCGACAAATTGTTTACAAACTACCGCTCGTGGTGCAAGTTTATCCACACACAGCCCGTGACGTACTCGGGCCACGGGATCCCCACGGCCACGCCGTCGGCACACTTGCACATGGACGTCATGTTGTACTTTCTGATATGGGGCGAGGCCGCCAACATTCGGCACATGCCCGAGTGCATGTGCTACCTCTTTCACCAGATGCTGACCAGCGTGAACGCGGACCCGCAGAGCCGCGACAAGCAGTCGGAGGGCTGGTACTTGGACCAAGTGGTCCGCCCCATCTGGCGCGAAGCCAGCAACATGAAGCGCCGGAATGCGCTGGGGAAACCGCTGGAGCACGTGAAGATTCGCAATTACGACGACATTAACGAGTACTTTTGGAAATCGCATTGCTTGAGTATCGACGTGACGCAAGTGGGCCAAGAGCTGACGCAGAACCACGGCAAGACGTTTTACGAGCACCGCAGTATCTTTACTATGATACTGAACTACTACCGGATCTTCCAGTTCAACATGATGTTCCTCGTGCTGTTGACTGTCCTCGCGTTCGCCGTGACGATCTCACCGAGCGGCGGCGAGGACGGCTGGTCGGAGTTTACGGAGATCGGCGACGTGGTGGCCCCGTACTCGACGCGCGACTTGAAGCTCGCGATCGTGGCCATTCCCTTTAGTTTGAGTCTCATGGCGTTTCTCAAGTGCGTCATGGAGGTGTGCCACGGCTGGCACTTGCTGACGTCGAAGGAGAGTGCAGCCACGAGCTCGCGCTCGTTCTCGTACGGATCGGCGCTGACGACTCGGATCGTCTGGAACGGCGGCTTTGCCATCTTGTTTGGCGTCATGATTTACGTGCCGCTGAACCAAGACAAGGACACGGCGCTGTTGGACAATTTGTACCCACTATGTGGCGCGTATGTATTGCCGGGCGCACTGGTGCTGTTGATCCAAGCGCTTGCCCCGCGGCTCATTACTGGCACGTTTGCTGCAAAGTTTGTGCGTGAAGGCGCGAGTTGTTACGTGGGCCAAGACATGACGCCGCCGCTGGTGTATCAAATGAAGTACACGCTGTTTTGGGTGCTCTTGTGGGTCGTCCAGGGGGTTACGTCGTACTTTATTTTGGTCCGTCCCCTCATTCTGCCGACGCTGAGCATTTACGCCATGAATTTGAACTATCAGAACTCGTTGGTGTCGTTCTATAACGTCGGCATTCTCATTGCTTTGTGGCTGCCGGTCGTGTGTATCTTTAACTACGCACCGCAGATCTTTTTCACGATCTTCCAAGCGCTGCTCGGTGGCTTTCAAGGCATCCTCATGAAGACGGGCGAGATTCGGGGCGCCAAGGAAATGACCAAGGCTTTCCGCGTGGCGCCGCAGCTGTTTGACCAGAAGGTGGTGACGTTGCTCGCGCGCTCGAACGACGCGCCGCCGAGCAGTGCTGGCTCGGCTCGTACTAGCGTCTTGGCAGCAGCGTACGAGTCGCAGATGATGCTGCGTTTCGTGGTCGTGTGGAATGAGATTGTGAATTCGTTTCGCGAAGGCGACTTGCTCGATGACAAGGAAGCTGCGATTCTTCAGTACGACATTCGAAGCACTGGGGAAGTGTTCGAGCCGGTGTTTTTGTCGGCTGGCAAACTGACGGAAGCCATGGGGTTGACCGTCAAGACGGCGAAGGATGGCAAGGGTGAGTCGCAGCTTCGTGTGACACTCGTAGAGAACGACTGCCTTTCGGCCATTCGTTCATTTTTTACAGCCAGCATGTACGTGGTTAGCGCTTTGTTCGGCAACGACGATGCCGACGTGATTGACGGATTCCGTTCGATCGAGGAGACTGCTTCAAGTGGTGGTTTTTTGAAATCGTTCAACGTTCGAGAGCTGGTGAGTCTGCGTGCTGCCGCTGTGGACCTTCTCGAAGAGATTTTGGACTTGCCGGACCCGGATGTGCAGTCGCAGCATATTCCGAACACCCGTGTGCACTCGTTGGGTGTGATTCGCAACTTTGTTGTCAAGATGGAGGTCTTTTTGAAGGGTGTGCAGACGTTTTGCATCGATCCTGCTTTGCAGCGCAAGTTCAGCAACTCGAAATTCTGCTCTAGCGCCAATGGGTACATGTATGCATCGCGCGGACTCGTGAACCTGTTTAGCAGCGATACAGCGATGGGCGCGGCCACACGTGCTTGCCTGCTATTGTCTCTCGACCGCTCGGAGGCCATGCCACGTACTATGGAGGCGCAGCGTCGTCTGGGCTTTTTCATGAAGTCGCTTGTCATGGATATTCCGCAGCTGCGTTCCATCAAGGAGATGCGCAGTTTTTCAGTCGTGACTCCGTTTTACGCCGAGACGGTGCTGTTTTCATTGAAGGACTTGAATGATCCTCTTGTGAACCACCCGATCTTCCAGCAGGTTGAGGAAGACGGGAAGAACTTGACGATTCTGAAGTACCTGACAAAGATCCATCAGGAGGAATGGGACAACTTTCTAGAGCGCGTGGATGTCAGCTCTGCCGAGGAAGCGCAGAAGAACCATCCTGAAGAAATTCGATTATGGGCGTCGTACCGTGGTCAAACGTTGGCCCGCACGGTGCAGGGCATGATGATGTATGAAGACGCCATCAAGATCTTGCACTGGTTGGAGATTGGCTCCAGTCCCGGCAAGTCTGCAGAGCAGAAGCAGAATCAGCTACAAGACATGGTCCGTCTGAAGTTCTCGTACGTTTGCGCTTGCCAGGTGTACGGCAAGCACCGCGCCGAAGGCAAGGCGCAGGCTGCGGACATTGATTACCTGCTGCGCGAGTACCCCAATTTGCGTGTAGCTTACGTGGATACGGTTGAGAACGCCGACGGCGAGAAATCGTTTGACACAGTGCTGATCAAGAGCGAAGCCGATGACATTGTTGAAGTGTACCGCTACTCGCTGCCGGGAGATCCGATTTTGGGCGAGGGCAAGCCAGAGAATCAGAACAACGCTACTCCGTTCACGCGCGGCGAGTTCGTGCAGACGATCGACATGAACCAGCAGCACTACTTTGAAGAGTGCCTGAAGATGCCGCAGCTGTTGTGCACAGCTGACTTGCACCCGTCGAAGAAGCCAGTTTCGATCATCGGTATGCGCGAGCATATTTTTACAGGCAACGCTAGTTCACTCGCTAAGTTCAAGACGTGGCAAGAGCTGGTGTTTGTGACACTGTCGCAGCGTGTGCTTGCCGACCCTTTGTACGTGCGTATGCACTACGGTCACCCAGATGTGTTCGACAAAGTGTTGGCGATCACGCGTGGAGGTGTGTCGAAGGCCAGTAAGGGCATCAATCTGTCCGAAGACGTGTTTGCCGGTTTTAACACGACTCTGCGTGGCGGCGTCGTGACGCACGTAGAGTTCATGCAGTGTGGTAAGGGTCGTGATGTGGCTTTGTCTCAGATCTCGATGTTCGAAGGCAAGCTGGCGAATGGTGCCGGCGAGACTTCGTTAGCTCGCGAGGCTCATCGCATGGGTCAGTTCATGGATTTCTGCCGTCTGAACTCGATGTACTACTCCCACACTGGGTTTTACTACGCGACATGGATGACAATTGTAACAACATTCGTGTACATGTACTGCAAGGTTTACATTGCTTTGTCAGGCGTGCAGTCACAAATTGTGTACAGCATGAACACCACGGCGGTCATTATGGACAACGCGCAGTTGCACGGCTTCGACGAGCGTGTTTTTCACGACATGGATTCTGTGTACAACACGCAGTATTACATCCAGGCTGGTCTGTTCTTGTCTCTACCGCTGATTTGTGTGTACTTCGCTGAAATGGGCTTGCGGCGCGGCCTCGTGCAGTTCTTGGAGATGGTCTTTACGGCTGGCCCGGCGTTCTTTATCTTCCAGCTCGGAACGACCATGCACTTTTTCGACAACAATTTGCTCCATGGTGAAGCTCAGTACAAGGCTACGGGTCGTGGATTCAAGATCACGCGCGAAACGTTTGTTTTGTTGTACAAGGCGTACGCGCTGAGTCACTACCGCAAAGCTATGGAGCTCATCGGCCTGTGTTTGGTATACCTTGCGTTTGGCCAGTTCAACATTTGTGACACCTCTGTCGCTGGTGAGGCCAATTCGTTCGCTTTCGAGTACTGTGATACGTCGCAGAGCTTTGGCGTGCAGACATTTGCAATTTGGGTCATCGCCGTGGTGTGGTTGCTGTCTCCTTACATTTTCAACACTGACGGTCTAGACTGGGAAAAGACAAAGGTCGATGTGTCGGCGTGGGCAAAGTGGATGTATGCCAGCGAGGACTACACGGACGAAGACTCGGTAATGGTTGGTGGGTGGATTAGCTGGTGGAAGGGCGAGCTTCAGCTGTACCACAACACGAAGCCGGTCGCCCGTGTCAGTGTGATTTTGCGTGAATGCCGCCACTTCGTACTCATGTGGTACGTGGTGGCGCTCGAGTGGGAGTTTGTCACTGTGGGTCTGGTTTTTGCTGCTGCCGTTCTCACGGTTGTAGCGATGGGCGTACTGCGACGCACGGGCGGCTGTTTCCGCAACGTACATTCGTCGATACGCGCGGTGACTTACTTGTCCATGGTCACGATCGCGCTTGTTGTTTTTTTCGTCGTCACAATGGCTATTTCCGAACTCAGCTTTAGTCGCACCATTTCTTTGTTCTTCGGCTACATGGCGGCTCTGTACGGCATTAACGAGATGGCGCGCATGTACAGTTTCGCCAACTCGTCCATCGCGACGATGGGCACGTTCCAGCAGCTTGCGTTCTTTTTCGACTTCATCTTTGCAGTGGCTATGATTTCCCCGCTCTTGGTGATGTCAGCCATCCCGTTTCTGAATATCGTCCAGACGCGAATGATGTACAACAAGGGTTTTTCCGAAGTCGTGTCAGCGTCCTCGCAGTACGCGTTTTCTCTGGCTGCCTTTATGGGCGGGCTTGGCGGTATAGGGTGTGGCTGGTTGTTCCATTTGTTTACAACGCTCGAGAGCACTGCTGGTTTCCTGAGCTACGCCACAACGTACGAGCTACTTGACGACTACGTCGGCAACGGCTTGGTGACGTATGCGTTCTACCTTTCTTGCGTGGGTGGGACGTTTGTGGCTGGCATCATGAACTACTTCATTGGTCGTCGTCTGTCGATTGTTCTCGGCGGCTTGTTGACGGTGCTGGGTATGCTTGGCGTGAGCGCCGTGCAGTCAGGTGGTGGAGGTTTTCTTTTGCCAGGCGTGTGCTTGCTCGGTGTATCGGTCGGCGCGCTCATGCCCACGCTAGTAGCGTACATTTACGAGATTTCGACGCGTGACATGCGCGGCAAGGCTCTTCTTCTACTTGGAAGTGGTTTCATTCTCGGTATCTTGCTTGCTTCTTGGTTTTCCTCCTCGGCGAAAGACCTTGGATGGGTTTGGCAAGTGTTCATTGCCACTGTCATTCTCTCGATCATGACTCCGGCGGTGTATATTTTCCCAGAGAGTCCGTACTGGGTGTACATGCGCGAGGGCTTGGAGTCGTGTGAGCGATGCCTTGCTGTGTTGCGTCGTAAGGAAGGCGTGTCTGAGGAGCTACGCATGATTCGCGACGAAGAGGCTGGCAGCGATGACAAGAGCGGCAGTTCTGGCACTTTGTCTCTAAAGTTCCTGACGGGTTTGTCCTTGATGCTGGTATCTAGCATCTTTATCGGATGCGTGAACATGTTCTTCTCCGACAAGTTTCGCGGCATTGACGAGGCGACGTACATGTTTGTCAACTGCGTGGCTCTTCAGTTTGTCGGCGCACTCTTTTCGTTCTTCTTCATCGACCGTATCGATCACAAGAGCATTCTGTTCTCGACGTTGCTGCCGATCGCGACACTGGCTTGCGTCTTGGGGGTGTACAGTGTATCGGATTCCCTCAGCGGTGACAGCGAGTACATGATGCTGCAGGTTGTGGGCCTCGTGCTGTATTTCTTTGCTGGTTTGGGAATCACCGCGGTGCCATGGGTCTCGTGCGCCGGTCTGTTCACGACGAAGCAGCGTACGATGACTGTGACCGTGTACTTTATGGTGTTTTTCCTGCTGCCCGTTTTTGCCAATTACATCCGGACCGATGATGCGGTTGGCGACGAGTACTTTTACTTGTTCGCGCTGACTGGCTGCTGTGTCGTGTCAATGGGGCTTCTGTTCACCGCGGGCACTCTCAAGAACGGCATGGTGTGCACCAAGAGTGAGATGGAGATTGAGCGCACGCGTCTACGCCGCATCCGGGCGTCTCGCCGCAGCGCCCGCACGCCAGGCAGTGCGCGCTCCAAAAACTTCAGTCGCTCGCGCGCAAAGTCTCATTCGAACTACCAGATGTTCGAGTCTCCTGCTGGCAGTGCGCCGTAGACGGTAGTGACGCAGACACAGGGTGGTGGTGCGAACGCCGGACCGTAACACTCGGGTTGAGTAGAATGGCGCCGACGACCACTAGCAGGCGTCCATTTTGTTTTACATCTTTTGCTTTTTACATACATAATACACGAACGTTTACGATTGAAGATGTTATAGTTACCAGCGCAAGGTACGGTCACGTAAGATGACCAAGACTTACTTAATCAGGGCTGGAAATGGAAAATTTGTCGTGCACGGTAACATACGGTAAGTCGTGCATGCTCGACATAAATCTGTAGTGTTCCTGCGAGAAGGACAATATACTGCCCCGCTTTGCTCACATGCTCCACCATCAGTAGCTGTTACCATCTACCGATCGAATTCGAGCGACAGCATATTGTCCTTCTCTCCATTCCGTGACTCAGAAAGGATAGAGATAGCCCACGGTAGTCAGCAGCAGCAGCAGCAGTAGCAGCAATAGCTAGGGTAGTAGCATTTGTCAGGTTCTTGGAGTCAAGAAGCAACGAACGAGTACTATCGACGCACTGACTGACATTCATCTCTTGTTTCTTTGTATGGATCTGTGCTTCGCTCGGACTGTCCGCTCTTAAATAATGAATTACTACAATTGCCGACCAACAGCATGCACGCGAGCTGGAACAGTCTACTCCTGGACCAACTTCGCGCGTCGTCGCACAGCTCTTTCACTTCCATCCGGTGATCTTGAGCTCTTTCGTTTCCTAGTACTAGTGTCCAGCGCCGAGGCATCCCTCGCTGGTCCGTGCACAACAGCTACTTGTAGTTTCTGAGCTGCTTCTCGGCCTGCTCTCGGACACGATACGCTCGACACATCGCGCTCATCTACCCAAATCTCGTGGGCTTCCTCCTTCACACGCTGCACCTTTCTCGGTACATCGTTAGCGTCCAAAGTGTTGCCTCGTTTCAACCTCAGTCTGCTTTTCGTTTTCTCCTGTATGCCTTCGTGGAAAGCATACATCGAGATTCAATCGCTGCTGGCCAGCTCGGTCCTTTCCAGTTTCCCGCAAACGCGCGCGTCCACCGAGTCAATATCGATACTGTCGTCCATATCTGTCGCCTCGTTCATCGAGTCGGGAATGATCTCGGGTGGCTGGCCGCAAAAGTGCACGCGTTTCAAGTCGCCCTGCTGATCGTCGTTCGGGTCGTCCATACAGACGCTCAAGTCCGCTGTGCTGCTACTTTGGTCCGATGACCCCGATGCCTGTGAGTTTCCAGACTGTCCACGAGAGCGCTTTCTCACTGGATTAATACCTGCAAGTTGTAAGAGCGGAGCCCCCTCGGCAATCCCGCTTCCGTCGCCCTCGGGCGCCAGCAGCATCAGTGCATCTTGATCAGGACCTTGAGGCTCGAGATGAGGCTCAGACACTTGACACATGGGAGCCATTGGAAACATGGGCGGCAGACTCCGTCGAGTCGGCGATAGTTCCAATCGGTGCGTAATCTGGCAATTCAGCAGCGTGTTTTGCTGCAGCTCCAGCTCGTCCCGGGGCAGTCCCACGCGGTTATGGACGCTCTCGACAATCTGTTCGCGTGACTCGAACGACTGCCAAATACATCGAAAAAAGCGACCAAACGTGAGTATGAGCAATCAGCGCGTCTTCCCAAACAAAGTACGTTCTAGTACGACCACAACAAAGCAGAACGAATCAACGCGCGAATCACACGCACCTTGAACGTATACGAACGCGAAGACGCCCCGAACTTCAGCACGGCATCATTCATCACCAGTGTCGGCTGCAAAGCTTTGAGTCGCAAGCCATCCACGAATGTGCCGTGCGCCGAACCAAGATCCACAAGGTACGTCGCGCCTTTTTCGTGGTGCACAATGGTCGCATGCAGTCGCGAGATCGAGCAGTGGCTGAGCACAATGTCGCACACGGCAGCGTTCCGTCCAATAAGGAACAGCGATTTCTCGTCCACAATGTGCTACACAAAGATAACAGCAGTAGAACAGCGTTACAATCCGTCAGTCACATGTCGTCTACAATGCGTATTCCACCCACAGAGGTGACAACTGCTCTTCATGCACTAGTGTCCCGTATAAAGCAACTCACCGTCGCGATAAGGAGGTGATCTTTATAGACATCCAATAGAGCAATAGAGCGCGGCGGTTCATGGAGGCACCTGATACACCATACAGACCAACGACGACACACACACACACACAACAAATACAGCACCATAAACACGATCGTAAGCAAAGATGTCCGGTACAAAATAGAGAGAGAGCGCGCGCGCGCACGCGAGCACGTCGTCGGTCTGTATACGCACGTATCCGACTGCACTGACCAAGTGGGCGGAGGAAATGGGACCGTCGGTGGATCGATCGGGTCCAAAAACTTGGGGTGGTGCGTGGCAAACGTGTCCAAGTGCAGTCTCGGGAGCTGGAGCGCCTGTTCCATGGTCGGTCCCTCACGAGCGACGGCAAAAGTGGCAGTGAGGAGCACGTGACGACGTGGACACCCACACAAACACACACACACACAGACACACACGCGCGCGCGCGACAGTCGTAGAGGTCTCACGACGGAGCAATCGGAGCGATAGTGTGGTCGATAGCGCAGCACGAGCAGTAGTGGTAGTAGTAGTCGTCGTCGCGGTCGTCGAACGGGGAAGGGGAGGCGTCGGGCCGCGACAAGACGACCAGCGAGCGCGTCGTTTGTTTTGCTGCTGCCAAGTCGCACGTGACAATCAGACGAGCAAAGTGTCTTAACTGACACTACAACTGGCCTTACTTACAATAGTCCACAGCTCACTCGCTTACTCGTCTCTGCCTCTACCTCTCACTCTTTCTCTATGTCTCTCTCTATGTATGTCTGTCTGTATGTTTGTATGTTTGTTTGTATGCGTGTGTGTGTGTGTGTGTCTCTCTCTCTCTTGTTCTATCGAACGCTCTGTCGACCTCTTTGTATGCGTTTCTGCGTGTGTCTCTCGCTCGGTCTGTCTGATTAGCCGTCTGCCTATTTATCGAGTTCTTGATTTATCTCTCTCCTTCTTGATGGTGAGCTGGCTTGTCTCTTGTCCTTGCGCGGAGAAAGAAGGAGAGAGAGGGGGGGGGGGGGGGGGGGGGGGGGGGCGGGGGGCGCACGATGTGACGCAATTGGTCCGGACGCAACGAGCCAGTTCGACCGCTCGTGCGCAGTGACAAAAGGCGACCCACGACGACTTGCGACATCTTTTCGACCAGTCACAGGCCACGAGCACGTCTCGACGTCGGAACTACTGGTGGAAAAGTCGACACGCCGCGCAATGGACGAGTAAGTGCGTCCGTTGGCCGCGGACCTGCGTCAGCGCTTCGAGCGTTTTCACGGGCGTTACCGACACGTGTTTGATACGTTTCGCTTTGTTGAAAAGGTCGTCGACATGTAGTCGTCCATCCGTAGATTGCCAGCAGCCGGATGACGACATGAAGACATATCTGAGCGAGCGGTTGGTGCAGAGCGGCGAGAAGGAGCGCCTGAAGGAACTGCTACGGCTTCAGCTCGTGGAGTGCGGCTGGCACGAGGACATGAAGCAGTTTTGCAAAGGTCGATTGACTGTGAAGCTAATGTACTGTGTCGATCGAGTTGAGAGGACGAGTGGATAGGTCGAGCGATCGAGCGAAAGAGCGATGGACGGATGGACTGATCGATTGGGATGGAATTGATTGGTTGGGATGCGTGACTGCAGCCGTGATCCGGAACAGAGGAATCGAGTGCGTGACGGTCGAGGATTTGATTGAAGAGATCGTCCCACGAGCACGAGGTGAAGAGTGCAAAGGAGAGCGCACGTGGCACCGAAAGATCGTTGCGTGCTGATCGACTGCTGTTGTTACTGTTGTTTTGATGGTCTCGTTGATGTGTTGTTGTTGTTGTTGTTGCTGTTGGTTGTGGTTACTGTGGGATGATGATGATGATGGCGGGATGGATTGTATTGCGTCTGTGCTGTTGCGGTGCTGTGTGGTTGTGATTGTGGTGCGGGTTGTTGTTTGTCGACCAGCGGCCGTGCCAGAAGAAGTCAAGAGCGAAACACTCGAGAAGATCAAGGCGTTCCTCGCGCGCGAAGTGGACGACAAAGGGGCGACGAGCGAAAAAAAGAATGACCAGCAGCTGGCGCACGACGTCGTCGGGACGACCGACTAAACAAATCTCTTCCTCTGGGTGTTGCACATGACGTCGGTTGAAACAGGCGACCGGCCCTGAACCCTTGAGCCAACGAACGACAGAAGAGGGCGGGAAACGAACGGCCCATGTGCTCGATTTTCCGAACGCAAAATAAACGAAAAGTACAGAGGGTACACGTGTACCCCCAGCCGGTTGTTTGTTAATCATCCTCATCATCATGTTGCACGAACGACGAGAAAAACCGACTTCATACCGGTACCGAACGTCGCGTGCACCACCTCCCACTCACTCGGTTACACACACGCACAAGGAGAGGAATGGTGGTGAGACTGCGCTTGGCTCGTTGGGGCCGCAAGGACTTGCCCTTCTACCGCATCGTGGCGGCCGACGCACGTGCCCCGCGTGATGGCAAACACCTTGAGATTGTACGTTGCACTGCATCACTGCATGTGTCGGTGGTGGTCGGACCGACCGACGTGTTGTCGTTTCGATAAAGTACTCTTTTGTGTTAATTCGCTTGTCTGCATTTGACTACAATGTCGTAGCTCGGCACGTATAACCCACTGGCTGCTAGCGATGGCGTCAAGGAGCTGCGCGTGAACAACCAGCGCGTGCGCTATTGGATGTCAGTGGGTGCGCAGCCGTCCGACCGTGTCGCGCATCTGCTGGGGCTCGCCAATGTCCTGCCCATGCCTCCTACCCGTCAGTACACGAAGAAGCACCTTCCCAAGAAAGACCGCGAGACCAAGTAGATTTCAACTCGAAGGTACCGTCAGCGCCAAGCAGAATGACTGAATACCCACTCCCAGACAGACGGAATGAGTCACCGACATCCGCACGCGTTTCTATCGCTCTTTTCTCCAAATATCGAGTTTCTATGCCGTCAATTGACGATCGTGTCTCCCCACCCTCTGCATCGTGTCGACCACCTCTCGTCATCAACATCCATTTCCGCGACGGCCTGTCGAACCAAGTGACCCGTTCACCAATACTACACCACCACATGCCGTATTGACCAGAATACAGCACGCTATCGCGCTCAATAGCGTCGACCGCGCTAACGCTTCGCTTTCGACGCCCGGGCGCGCGGCGCCGGCCCGCGCGCCGACCCGCCGCCCTTGAGCATCTCGCCGCCCTTCCGCACCTGCTGGTGGAACGTTGCGTGCTGCTCGTCGAGCCAGCGCCGAATCTCCTTTTGCTTTGCCGCGTTCGCCGCGCACCGCGTGTGCTCTTCGCGCTGCTTTTCGCGCGCGAGAAAGTCGGCGTCGCGGCGCAACTCGCGCGCGGCGCCTTTGCGGGCGCGTTTGACTTGGCGCTGCAGCTGCTGGCGCTGCGCCGCGTCTTTGGGCGCGAGTTTGTCCTTGCGGACCGTGTAATTCGCGTCAAACTGCGGGGCAAACGTCGGCAGCACGCGCGGGGCAAACTGCTGGAGGCACAGCGGCCGCCGGCGCGCCCAACAGTGGGCGAGACGCGCGTGCAGCGCTTCAATAACTTCGTGCAGCGTCGACGAGAGACTCGTGTCACGTCCGCGGGCGGGCCACACACTGTCGAGTTGCTGCGCGAGCGCGTGGAGCAGCAGGTACAGCGGGTAAAAGAGCTCGTCAAACGACGGCAGGTGCGCGTACTGCGCTGACGACAGCTCGAGCAGCTTCAGGAGCGACGTCAGGACGCGGCCACCACTGGCGCTGGCGCTGGTCGACGACGCGGTCGCTAACGACAGACGGGTTGCGGTCGACGCGGTCGGATGCTCGAGCACGTCGCGACGGAGCCAGTGACTGGGGTGGCGCTCGTGGGGGTCGTCGCTGGCCGGCGCGACGACAATCGCACGGAGCAGACGCGTGAGGAACGTGACGAGCTCCGGCACGAAGCGCTCTTTGGCGCGCGTCATGTCGAGCGAGAGCGACGCGGCAAAGAGCGCCTGGACGGCCTCGTGCGGACTCGGGACAGCGCCGCGGGCCAAACTCTCGCCCAGCAGCGTCTCGATGGGCGACGTCACGTTGTGGCGCAAGTCGGACGTGGGGAAGATGCGCGTCAACGCTTTGAGCAGCAGCAGCTCGGCCAGCGACGGCCAGGCACACGTGGACGTGCGCTTGTGCAGGCGCTTGTGGAGCTGCGCGAGCACTTGGCGGACGACGACGCCGGCCGAGTCGCCCATTTGCTGCGCTAACGTGTACATGGTCGTTGCCAGCGAGTCGAGCTGCAGCACGACAGGTATCGCCACGCGATCAACAACAAAACAACAACAAGCAGATACGTGAGCAGGTTACACGAGGGATGGGAGCTGCAGACAGACAGACAGACAGACAGCCAGAGAGCAGCGCCAGTGGCTGCACACACTTACGTCGTGCTTGTGCGCCGCGTACCGAGCTGCAAAGAGCAGGAACTGCCGCACCAATACGGCAAAGAACGTCTTCATCTTGCTCTGGTTCTCGACGCTCAAGCGCGGGCTGTAGTACGTGACGATGCGGTCGAGGATCAGCGCCCGCTTTGCCGGCGAATGGCGCGCGTGCTGCTTGAAGATCGCAGCTAACGCCTCGGGCGACTCGGGACATGGAAATACAAACGGCAGCTCGTGCGCTGCTTCCTCGGCATCGTCGATCCGCTTTTGCAATGCACTGTCACAGTCGTCGACTTCTTCCTGTTCGTCCACGACCGTCTCGACGTTATCTGCCGTGTCCTTCTCGTCCTCAGCTCTGTCTCCATCGCCCACGTCCGATTCCGCTTCCGAGTCCTGCTCGTCGCTGTCGTCGTCCACATCGTGGCTCTCTTCCTCGTCTCCCTCCCCCTCTTCCTCCTCTTCTCCCTCCCCCTCTTCTTCGTCATTATCGTGAGCAAACCGGTCGTCTACGACGTAGCCGTCCATCAGATCGTCGTCCGTTGGTGGCCTCCCCCACCGCGTCCGACGTCTTGTCGTTCTTGACCTTCTTCTTGCTCTTCCGTCCCTTGCGTCGCCCATCTGCTGCGTCTCCATCGTCGCTGTCGTCACCGTCCGCTCCGTGCATCCGCGCGACTCGCTTCTTCTCCAACGCCGCCAGTCGATCGCGTTCCTTAGCAGCGGCTTCCTCGGGCGACAGTCGCCGTTCGGTCGCCTTCACTTTCGCCTCAAAGGCAAACTCGCGCGTCAATGTGTCAAACGCGTCCATCGGTTCTTTCGGCACCACCTCTTTGCCGTTCGCCCGCGTGGGACGGAACTCGAGCAACCCACAGAGGTCGGCAAAGCCTTCGTCGAGCTGGTCCGTCGCCTCTTCTTGCGCGCTCTTGTTCTTCTGGCGCTCGGCCTTGTACAACTTGGCCTTCATCATCACCTCCTGCATCACCTCCTTGTGCGTCTTTTTCACGGCGCCTGTTCCTTCCCGTCCCTCGTCAATCGCCTGTGCTCCCCCACCGCCACCAAAGTGCAGCGTGTTCACAATCTCGCGGTCCATCTTCCAGTCTTCTTCCGTCTCACTACGATCGCCGCCATTGTCCACGTCCTTCTCCACGTCCTTTGCATCATCGTCCGTGATCCGCGCGCCCCGATGCGTCAGGAACAGCCCACCGTACCGGCCGTCCGCCCCGTCGTCGTCCTCGTCGTTGTCCGAGTCGTGCAAAGCGAACGCCGCTGCATTGCGCATCTGCCGCTTGCGCTCCGTCTGGAACCGCGCCATCATCTTGTCCTCCATCGACAGCGTCGGGTCTTGCTCGCCCAACCGCTTGTCCTTGAACACGTTGCTCTTCTTCCGCGCGCGGAACTCCACGCCCAACGTCCGGCGCCGCTTCAGTTCGGCCGCGGCGCGGGCTGCGGCGACATTGCGACTCGCGCCTTTGACGCGGCGGCCGAGGACTTCGTACTTGGCTTTGGTCGCGTTGCATCGGGCGTCAAAGGGATTGCTGCCGCGACTGCTCTGTGGTCTCGACCGGACGACTGCGTGCGCTGGTTGCGGTCGACTCTTCTTCCTGTTGTTCTTCTTGTTCTTCTGCTGCTGCTTCGTGGCCGTCGACAGCGCCATGGCGGACGACAGACTTTCAGCGGATGCGACCGACCTGAAGGATGGACGATTGCTGTCCAGTCAACGAGGAGACGTGAGGCGGTTGTGTACTGATATACGGGAATCGGGAAGAGGAGGGCATTTGGGGAGTGGGATGGAATGGGTCTTTCTGACGACAGACTCGTCTTTTGCGTGTGCGGGGGGGGGGCAGTTTGTATATGATACCAAGCGACGGTTGCCACTTGAGAGGGTATGCATGCAACGGGTACAGTAGAACGCCTATTTGCTCATAGAATTTAGCGGATATAAAACTATTAAGTAGTTGAGGATATTCGGTAGGAGGGGCTGGGATTCACGTGATCTTCATACAGTTGTACAGTACTAAGGAGTGCATGGTTGCCACGTTGGGCCAAAATTTTGTCATTCACTACAAGGGGTTATTACTGTATTTGGGGTGATGCGACAAGGAGGCCAAAGATGGAAAGATGAGGCAACTATTTTTGCTCTTTGGCTCGATCAAGAGAATTGCTTTATGTGGAAGCTCCTTCGCTCGAGTTTACTAGAGACTCACCTTACCATGGACGAAGTTACGGAGCAACTTTGCCACCAAAGTAGATAAAAATCACTTTACGCTTCAGCAAAAAACGCACCAATTCTCACACGTCGTTTCACTGTTAAGTTCTTTGTGCTGTTTGATTCCCGTGAAGCATCTAACGAGTTCTGTCGATTAATAAACGGTATTATGTTAACCTATTATACCCTAATTCACGAAAAAGGTATTGTATTAGGCAGGGTACACTACCAATTTACACGCATTCAAAAAAACACTTTTCTCTCGGATAATAAACGACAGCAGTAGTGGAGTGGTACAGCAGCTAAAAGTTACACAAATAACCCGAGATCAACCCCAGCAGCGATCACACAGATAGATTCCCACAGGGGGATCTGGAGCCGCTACGTAAGTCCTTTTATTTCCTATTTGTTGCGATGCACATTAGATTAAGCGCTTCAAACACAAACAAAATGTCCCTATTCAACGACTAGACCGTCAAACTCATCTGCAATATCAGCACCATCTGCATCATCGGAGGATTATTCGTCGGCGTTCGCCCATCTACTCTGAAAGAGTCCATTGTACACGTCGTGCTTGGCAATGTGCCAGTCGCGGTAGTCAACAGCGAACCCAAATGCTGCAACATGCTTGCGGACAACATCTTTGGGGATAGATTTCCACGAATTGCTGATCCAAGCCACCACCCCCTCCACGCTCGGTGGCCGCGAATTTCCTCACCTTGGTGCACTGCACCCGGTCAGATCGCTTCCATTCGTCAATTACGCTTAAGAGACAATCTTTAAACAACTTGAATATTTCGATGTCCCCTGCCTGAAGGTACGGCGTTAGAACTCCAGGAATAATCATCATCTGGATATTTCTGCTGATGCACTTCATCTTGACGTCCTTCGCTATATACGCTCGCATCGAGTCCTACATGATCCTTTTAGCGCTGTAGGAGCTTAGAAGCGCTGGGAACATCAGATCGATCCACTTTAGAAGAGGCTCGCTGTTCATCCAGGCTCGCTTTTGATACGCAACGTAAATCGCGCCGCTCTTCTGGATCGTTTTTTTCGCGCCTTTCCAGATCCGAAGAGGTGACAGTTTTGTCCCCGTGGCTGTGACAGTAAGCGCAACAGTGATCCGCATCGAAGCAAACCCCGTCGAACGCAAGACGACATGACAAGCACCGATAAAGTCCACAGTGTCGCGCCGCGGATCTTCGAAGAACACCGCTGTCTCATCCATCAGGATCGTGCCGCTGGGGTTGAGCGAGATCGTTTTTCGATGAGACGTACGTGAGAATAGCACGGCACGAGCAGTGAGCTCGCCGTCACTCAATATGGTGAGTTTGGTCGTCCGTCTGAGATTCATAAAGCGAGCGAGCACTTCTCAGATGCGCAAAAGTCATCTTCGTACAGATCAGCTTTAGCGAGCCCGCGTGCAGATGCCCAAATTCACTGACGCGACACCTTTTCCTCGATCGATCTCAGGAAAAACATATGGTCAAACAGGACATCCTCTATCTCGCCAAGCCGTGGGTGTCTACCTCCACCTGTCACACGTAGCTGCAGCTCCGGGAGTTCCTGATGGAGGTGCGGTTCTTCCACCAGTAGCGAATCTGGGACCTGACACCTTCCACCATCGCTCCGCTTGAAAGTGCTTCACGGCGCGCGTAGAAACCTCATCTCCGACCTTCGATCCACTCGATCACTTCCCGCTTCCCGAAATTTGTCTTGGAAACGCGCCTTGATGCCATGATATGCACTGGCGGATGAAGACCTTTGACGCAAATTGAGCTTTACATAAAGTAATCCAAAACGCATTAAAGTAAACGAGTTTTTAAGTAACTGCTGCCACCCATCTGAGTCGGAAAATGGTTGGCCGAAAAATTTCCTTTACCAAAAAGTTATGATATACTAATGGGCACAGTATTATACTGTTTGTGTACCTTAAAATATGGCCTGGGTATTATATTCGGACAGTGTGCATTAAACAGCAGAACCCGTTAGTTTATCTCTAATAGCTAAGATATATCGTCTTCATCTGAAGACTTGCTACGACATATTCTACTACGAGCTCTCCAGGCTGCATACTTTCATTTATTCATCGACGCTGAGACTAGTTGTCGCACATGTTCATCTGACGTTATAGCTATAAGCAAATCCCTGGAAACCTCCGGGGATAGGAAAGCTCACTTTTCTGTACATCAGCTGTCAAGAATCGCCTGGCCGTGTAGAACATAGACTGGGGATGATCAACGACTTCAAGGAAGGTGTGACCCGTTGATTGAGTGATATTTCGACGGGGTCGGCAGGAGTCGTGACGGCCAAAAGAGGGTTTTCGCGTAAAGCGTTTCTCATCGTGCCACACGCACGTTGATTGCATATAACAGATAATAAACGATATTACTTTGGTTTCTACCATACATAAACAACTGTTAATCTCTCTTCGTCTGAAACCCTGCTTCATCGACAAGGCTATCAATTACCTTCTACAAGCGCAAAGCTGTTAATATCTGTACTAGCTTTGATACTACATAGACACTTTCTGCAGACAATAAGTGCTCGATGTCTGAAGGTCAACTAGCAAGACAGGTCAATCTTTCTTTCTCGTATCCTTGTACGTGAAAAGAAATACTACTCGTACCTTATCGTTCACCCAAAGATTAGACGATCACGGTAGCGGCTGATTGATATGAAACGTCGTTGCCCATTCCTGGTCCTGTCCATATCAGCATCACGTTCCAGATTGTTAAGCAGTAACCACCGGGGACCGTAAGTATAGCTCCCCACCGGTTTCCAATCCTCCCCTCATATCTTAATCGATAAAGTCAAGGAAAATATAAGCGAACGTTAGTCCGTGTGTTTTTGCCAGGGACACAACGCACATGAGCAAACAACGAACAAGGTATTCAAACATCAAAATATTACCAACTATATATTTATCCACAGTTATAATATAGTACGAAGCGCTTCGCTTCACGCAACAATGTTACGTAGACCACGTATATGCACTTGCAAAAAGATAAACCTATAAAATTTCACAGATTTCGACCATACAGGAACTCCGTCGCTGCATCTTCAACTTCAAACAGCGAAGAGGTAACACCGCTCGCACATTAAATGAGAGAGAACCAAAAGACCAAGAACAATGGTTGTAAGGCATAGCGCTTCCTGATTTTGCCGATCATACAGGAGAGGACAAGAAATTTGTCGTCGGGCTATATGTCGTAATTGATAGATCTCGATCGAATTACCTTGATTATACAGTACTATTGCTTTGCTTAGCCAATATTCATTAGTATCCGCCAGACATCAGCAGTTTCTCGAGAAGTCTGGGCAATCGTCTGATTCCATTTTTAAGCCAAGATCGATGAAATAGAAAAAATGCTGGTTCTGTTGACCACAACGATAGTCACAAATAATTGATTCCGGTACCCGGTCGGGTGTTGGTGTCACGTACAAGAGCGTTCAAGACGAATTGCGCAAATATCCCTTACAGAAGAGTAAAGGAACAGTAAAGAACAGCATACCAAGACACCTTCGGAGATGATACAACAGCTCGCAATGATCGATAGCACAAGCGAAGTACTTGGAGACTTTGAAGATAACAGCACGAATGATTTAACGTGTATTTCCGAGTAGCGTGTTAAAGAACAAGACAAAAGCAGGGAAGTAGGACACCTCTTGTCTTGCACAGTAAAGGTTCGAGAATACAACAAGAGCCGGTGGATACATGAGAGCAAATATCATCAATTAGAAATAGGAGGAATATACGTGCTGCAGGAAACATTGATTCTGATATACATATGACGTCTCGCGGACATAGCCAATCCATGTTGTAACTAGTGCTTAGCGTAATAGAGTATCTTTCACCCATAGCTGCACCAACATAACGTGTCGTTAATGTGAGAAGCTGCTGATTCCCGGATTCAGTTTACGGCATTGAGAGAGAAAATCACAGCGTTCCGATACTTGTCAAAAAACGAATTCGGGATGCTTATAAACGTGCTATAACCTTCAGACAATTGAGATTGCGTAGCATGTAAACGACATGTTAGATTGCGAAATCAAAACGATTTTTTTTACCAGATCATCCAGCGGTGAAAAAAGGGGCACAAGTTGCCGAGACTGTCGCCCGCCGTACCATCATCGATATCTAAGTCAACTAGATATAGATCTATATGGCGTATCAAGACTGTTAAACCCGTATTATTTATTAACTCACCACATCGGGTCGCCGAATTGTGCTGATGTTATAGCACTAGTATATTCAGGCTCAAATTGCTGGAATCTTAGGCTACAAATTTGCCGGAGATGCAATATCCCATGTCAATCAATGTTCGCGAGCCATCCTCGTTGAAGCCACAATTGCATGTCCACAGGAATTCAGCAAGCGGCATTGCTGACCTCCCACCAGACTAATATGAAAGCAAATCACGCTCTTGATATCATTGCCAGTGTGT